CATGGTCATATAGTTCTCTTGATAATATAGTTTACATGGTCATATAGTTCCCTTGATAATATAGTTCACATGGTCATATAGTTTCCTTTCTTGCAACAACTCACGCGAGGTTTCAAGTTATTCCGCCAGTTATTCTTTGTTTGACAGTTGTTTCAATACAAGCATTTAGTTTTATTTACATATTACATAAAAATTTGTTTCATGTTTTGAATTTTTCGGAAAAAAATTATCTAGCTACAGCGTGTTGAATGTACGTAATTTAAAAAAAAACAAACCAATATATTTTTTTTTAAGTAACAAAACTGTGAAAATATAAAGTTTTAAAAACAGTTGAAAGCGTTTAACCCGTTGTGGTCTTATGTCGAGCGTCACTCGACACAGCGTTTCGTTCTAGCAAGTCCTATGTCGAGCGACACTCGACACCGCGTTTCGTTCCAACGCGTCCTATGACGCGATAGAGTCGACGTTCACAGAGTCTTCATCGTACGCTAAAAGAGATAAGATAAGAGCTGCGGTGTAGCATCATAAATGTTTTCCAAAGTAAACGGTACCAAACGGATGAGCGATTGGCGAAATCTGTGCGGACCGGCTGGGACGAAATTGCGAATACAGCGCGGACCGCAACGGGTTAAAGTACAAACTTCAAGCTTCAAAATGCTTATGTGTGTGGAAAATGTTCTCTATTTTTGGTAAATAGTGCATAACGCCCCTCATATAGTATCAAATACAAAGCAAAACCTTTTTGATGTTAGGTTTCACAGTCAATATTGACGATTATCCAACCTGACAATCTGGCATCCAGTCATGATTTACAACATTTCAGGTTATCGTACAGAATCTATTTTCCATCACTTGTGATGACTTTGTATAGAAAATTCTTTTCTCGAATCTGAGTAACAAATATACATGGTTATATAGAATATTGTTTTTTTATTATTCACTAAGCACATGAAGAATCCATATTCTCTTTTTATAAATTTTTCCTAATTAACCTAGACTGAAAAATGTGACTGTATAGGTTACTTTCAACTGTGTAACGAGTCCTATTTTCAATTTATTTGAAATCTTGTTCAAAGTTTTATAGAAGGTTTTATAGGGTGCATTCGGAGAGAATACTATTAGCGCTATAAACGCAAACATTCCTAATGTTGTTCGTGGGGCGTGGTTAATAGTGCGAAAGCGGTAGCAAACTACACGAACGGCACTAGCGTAGCATTAATATTATGTATTAATACCATTTTTGCATTTTATTTGCATTATTTTGCATTTTTTTCTGTTTTTTTTTCTTCGATTTAGGTCAAGTCAAACGTCGCAGTTTAAACTTTTCAGTTTCAACATATCGAAGCTTTATTTCCATGCAACTGTCCGTAGGGGAATAATAACAAAATAATGGATACGATTCTTCTTCTTCTTCTTCGTGGCGCTACAGCCTCCTTTGTGGAGCAGAGCCTACCTCTTTCTCGTATGCAGATTATACACAAGTATATGGGACTTACCCAGTTTAACGCCGACTCGGAACGGCAGATTGTTGGAGTAAAGTTTTCGTGGCAAAGATTATTCTCGGTGGTTTGCTAGTCCATCGAAGAGGAGACACGAGCGTATGAAAATATTTTGATTTTACCGGGACCTCTAGTATAGCAGAGCGATGTCTATGCTACACTCGCGCTCAATGGATACGATATACTCGTACGATATTCATGTGCAGAAATTATGACATGATGTGCAGTTCTAAGTGTTCACGGAGCTTGCAAACGCTAACGCTATCTTTACACTCCTCGGAAAGAAAGTTCTACCTCAGAAGGAATAATTATGTGTAACACAATACTAATGACATCACACCACTAATGACGTCATAATTGTGTTTGTTAGCACTATCCTCTAGCTCCGTGAATAATTTTTAATGCTAAATAGCATTAATAGCATCTTCCCAAACGCGTCCACAGAAAGGTTTTGTAGAAGCTATAAATTTTCACTTTCAAATTTTTTTACGATTAATTGAAATGTATTAGATGTTCCGATTAGTTTTCAACGTTCACTATAGATGACTGTAGCTACAAATCTACTAGAGATTTTGAAAGTTAGTGCGTCATTTAAAAACTTAGACATTTCTACAAATAATTCGACACGTCATATATATTCGTAAATATAACTACACTTTTTAGTGCGATGAAAAATGGAACGTAATAAAGAGCATTTTCATCATTTATTACTTTACTACTTTTGCTTTGATTCGAAAAAAAACGACTGCCGAAGCTCATCGATTCATTTCAGAAACTTATTCTGAATTTGCTCCATCAATTAAAACATGTGAGTACTGGGTTTCGAAGATTCAAAAGTGGTGATTTTGATTTGAAAGGCAAGACGTTTAGGTCGGTCAAAAATGTTTGAAGATGCCGAATTGCAGACATTGTTGGATGAAAACTTAGTTCAAACGTTTAAAGAATGAGCTAAAACATTAAATATTGGTAAATCAACCGTTTCTGATCATTCACACGCCATGGGAAAAATTCAAAAAGAAAGCAAATAAGTTCCACATGAATTATCTGAATTGACTATACAAAATAGTTTAACCATTTGCACTTCATTGCTCTTCCGTTACAAAAAGGAGCAGTTTTTGTATCAAATTATAACGTGATGAAAAATGGATATACTATGATAATCCTAAGCATAAAAAATCGTGAGTATGTTTAGACCAACCATCGATATCGATATCAATGCAAACTCCACGGATAAGACTTTGTTGTTCTTTTGGTGGGATATGAAAGGCGTCGTGCATTATGAGCTTTTGAAACCGAATCATACAGTCAATACTAAGCGTTATCAATAACAATTAATCGATTTGTATCGTGCTTTGAACCAGAAACGTCCAATAATAGCTCAAAGAAAACTCAAAGTGATTTTATTGTACGACAATGCTCGACAACACGTTGCAAAAGCTATTAAAAATACGTTATCGGTACTTCAATGGGAAGTTTTACCACACGCCGTGTATTCATCAGACTGTACTCCTTCAGATTATCACTTACTTCGATCGATGTAATACAACCTTGCTAATCAGATTCGAAACTTGTGAAAAATAAAAAAGTGGCTTAATGAATGGATTGCTTCAAAGGACGAACATTTTTTTACCACGGAGTTCATTTATTGCTAGGAAAATGGGAAAAAATTGTAGCTAACGATGGAAAATATATCGAATAAAATATAATTTAATGTCTCTCTAAAATAAACGTGTTTTTTGCAAAAAAATCTCAAAACTAACCGGAATATCTAATAGCTGGTTATTCATATCGGAGTTCCCATCACAAATTCTTTGATACCATCTTTTGTATATTTAATAAAACGTATTTTCACTAAGAAACGAATAATCATATCGGCAGCTATATTTTCTTATTCTTTTTATCGAAAGTGAGAGAGAGAAGGAGAGAGGGTGTAAGGGGGAGGGAGAGGGAGAAGGGAGAGGGAGAAGGGAAAGAGAGAAAGAAGAGAAGATATGGTAATTAATATGTGCTTCAACGAGGTGATTATCGTATTTATTGCTGATTTTTAAGATTGTATCAATCCACGATATTAAATAATATTTTGTAAATATATGGTAATGGCAGTATTTCGGAGCGGAATTAAAATCGGAAAATATGTAGATTCAAAATATTTATTGAAAATAAACCCCTAATATATGCGCTAATATAATAGACAGATAAGAATCACAGGATTTAAAAATTACCAGTGCGCAGAATGCATGCGCATATAAGATATCTCATCGTGCTAAGTGACGCGTCACGGGAATAAATACAGTCCGATGAAAATACCACTATTTTTATATCGAAATAACACTGTTTTACAAATATATAGCTTGTGAATTATATTGATTGCTTCAATTTCAAATTAACGAGAGGACCAAAACCAGGAGCCGCACATTTCACGTTCGAATTAAAATAAAATATATACGATATTTCATAATGTATATACGATATTTCATATATTTTTGTGTAGCTGCAACCTTTAGCCTTAAAATAATAACTGCTTTATATATATTCATGCATGAAAAGGTTATTAAGCTCAAAGCATCATGCAAATTGGACAATTGACCTCGAGTTAGTTATCACATATCTTTCATCATAAAAAAAAACAAGATTTATATTCTTTCTAAATGTCCTTTTTTTTAACATATTATCAAAGTTAATGATATCACGTAATCAAGATGCAGTTTTATCTCTAGCTGTTTTTCGATCAGGCTTTCGAGCCATGGCAAAAAACAACTTAAATGTACCTATAAAACCTGCATATCTATAAACATAACTTCATAATATAACCAGATGACTCTAACAAGATTCGACGATCCATGAATATGCTTGCGTGCATATAAGCTATATGAAATCTACCTTATTTAAATCAACTGACCCCGGATGATCATTGTGAATAAAAAAAATTATATTTCTAAACAATAACGGTTAACTAAATACAGGAAAAATTAGTTAAAACTATAATATTTCTTATGAGCATAAAGACATTGCGATCAGTAATTTCAATAGCAATGGTACAATAAAAATAAAAAAAGAAGAAAATTTGCTCACTACATCCAATTAAAAAAAAAAATTTTTCATAAGTACTACATGTGTGTGTAATACGTTAACAATGAGTTCTTTCGTACACCCAACTAATACGATACTTATCAACCTATACTGTAGAGAACAATATGCTCTTTTATTTATTTACCGAAATATAAGTTTTGTGATAACTAACCTGCGCGACTTCTGACCTCGGTCTCTCCTAATGTGTAACAAACTGAAATCTAGCCCGATAATTATTTTCGTCGAGATACGTAACGTTGGAAAGATGAATATCACGAATGGCGTCCTTCCGTAGAATTTCGCAACTTGGCTGAAAATCGAGTCCGGATCAGTCGAAGAACAGCGTCTGAAGAGGACATCCGGTATCGGATCACTTTGCAAGCACACATCCGTGGTACACACGGTGCGCGCTTGCCCATGTCTGACACTCACCGAGTCGCTGTACGTCGTTACTCCGCAAGTCCTGCCGCTAGCCACGGGCGTCTTCGTCGCCGCGATCCTGCGTCCGGACGACGCGCGCCGCCCAAGGATTATGGAGCCCGAGAATGTCATCGACTCTCACCGCCGCATAACGCTGCCCGCCATGCGCGACATATCCGGGCATCCAGGATCCGTACATGCACGCACGCACACGTGTCACAAATCCAAAACGGCGACAGTCGCTTTTGACATGTCGATAGGATCCGACAACGACGACTGACAGAAGACGCACTTCGGGGAACAAGGCGACGAGTAGATATCACGAACGAACGAAAGCAAGCCCACACACACACCGAAAAATTACCGATAGCGACAAGAACGCGTTCCGCGTCGAACTGCCGAGACTGCTCGCTCAGGGACTCGCGCGAACGAACACTCCCGAGGACAACGACTTCCCCCACCAATCATGCGCGTTCGACCCAGGTGTATTTACCCCTCTTCCACACGTCTCTTACCTTTTCCACGCTATTCCATTACGAGCTGCACAACTTCGCGCGCGCAACCTTTCCCGACTTGCTACTCCCTCCCTCTCTCTCTCTCTCTCTCTCTCGCTCTTCTACTCCCAATTTTCTGATTTTCTTACATTGGTACTTTTCAAGGCATTGTATGACAACAGAGAAAACATCTAAACTTGGATATTTATTTCCTAATATGATATGATGTTTCTCAGAAAAGTAGACAGTCTATCTTCTTATGTCTGAGGACTTAAATATATACCAGCGAAGTGAAGAACGAATACTTAGAAGAACACTACAATTATGTACATTTGTTAACCGTATTTCGCTGCTTGATTGCTGTTCTTCTACATACTCATCAACACGATGAAATGTGCTGCGATGTGAAAAAAGAACGGATATAAGATTGGGTGGATGTGGGCAAAGTAGCGCGTTCATCGATGGCGTTTGCAAAATAGGGTAGCAAGAAGAAGAAAGGGGAAAAGAGAAAGAGAGAGAGAATTGTGCATGCATGTGTGCGTGCGTATATATGTGCGCGTCATATGCGTATGGCATGTATGTGTGTGTACAAACACGCATGCATTTTTTCTTTTTGGTACTCATCAATTGAGCAATAAATCAAGAAAAATATAGTTTTCTATTGCTTTGCTTTTATAACGCTAACTTCTTTAACGAAAAAAATGTAGTTTATTTCTAAGAGCAAATGTTCACATTCTTGCATACTTTTATGTTATATTTCGTTTTCTATTCCTTTTCACATCTCATTCGATTTCTTTTCTTTTCTTCATTTTGTCTTTCTTCTTTTTCAACTACTCCACATATTTACATCTATTTCGAACCACCTCGCACTGTGTATCCTAGCTATATATTTATGTATTTGTTTTTTAGTATATTGCTTCTACGTTCTTATACTTCAATTACACGGCTTATATGCAAGTTTTTCGTATGAGGAATATTGTGTCAATGAAACAAAATAACCAATACTGAGAAGAACACCAAGGAGATGAACCACCCAGAGCATGAAATCACCCTGTAAGCGCATAATATTCCTGGAATATTATACGAATATTGTTAAATATTAAAATAATATTCTTATAATATTGTAAGCATGTTATGTAATATTTTTTAAATATTATAGAAATGTTTTATCGATGTTATATGTCCATTTCACATAATATTCTTGGCATATTATAAAAACATTCTTAGACCATCAAAAAAAAAAAATAATAATAATATAGAAAAATTTACAGGGTAAGGCATTTAACAAGAAATATCCAAATATCTCGAGAAATATGCTAAGAAAAAATGGTTCAAAGTTAAATTTGTTTACTTCGAAGGAGGCAGCAAGATAGCGCTATCTGTTTCATCATAGATGACGCTATTGTCGGTGAAAACGAGATCAAGTGTGTTTTTTAAATGGGAACCCTTAATTTTTATTAAATATTATAATATCTGCGCTAAAAACAAAGTAACTTTTGTCAGAAACTAATGTGCCTGTCCACATGTGCGCGCATCTTCGACGATAAACACGAAACTATTATCCTGAGAATGTGGCACCGTGGATTAATTTGATTATCGACATGCAGCAACGACAAGGCCGCGAGTAATTTAATTATAGAAACGGGTTGCTCTGTGAAGGACGATATATGCAATTAGTTTCGGGTTGTTGCTGCTGCTACTTCTGCTCCTAATAGTTCGTATACTTTTAACTACCAATTCCAGTTACGATAAGAAAACGTTAAATGTTTATAACTAATTGTGTTTATAACTAATATCGGTCAAGACGCATTGACTTTCGATTATCGATAATCGTATTTTGCATATTTATATGTTTATGCGGAATCTTATTTTTGTTATTCAGAAATAAATTTGCAAAAGCTTCATCTGCAAAAAATATCTTATGACGAATTAAGAGACTTGATACGTAAATATATATGTTAATATGTTAATATAAAATTCAGCAAAATTAAACAAAATTATATACAGGCTATTTTAATCAATCTATTCAATTTCCTCCGAAATTATTGATGGTCCAAAAGAATGTTTCAGATGAAATTGGAATAGTTTCGTGAGGGACATATTTTGGTTACAATATTTTTTCTAAGTAAAGGCGTCAAAAAGATATGAAAGACACCTGCATTGTTTTTAGTGGAACTGCCCATCTTCGAACACCTACGATTGTAGCTCATTTCAAGATGAATACATACCTCCATCTAAAAAAAATACCTAACCAAAATACCTTCCGCTCGAAACCGTTCTACTTTCACCTGAAAATTTTTTATATCATAAATAATTTCGAAGAAAATTGACTGGATTTAATCAAATGGGATGCCTTGTATATATATTGTTGCATGTGAGGATTCAAGGTATTGAATCCTCCCCCGTGACATCGGTTATTGCTGAGTTATCAATCAGCTGTTAATAACAAACAATACCTGAAGTGGAGTCGCGCTCCGAAAAATTAATCGTGCGCATATGTCACGTATAACAACAAAGAATATTACGATTGTAAATAGTCCGGCTTATAAACACACGTTCGTTTTTATAAATCGTGTAATTTATTTCTCCTGCGAACTCGGACTTGCGCAGTGACGCAACATTTCGAGGGCTCATCCGGGCTAGTGGACAGATAATGTATGTGTGAAAGTTTCGGGATCGCAAATTGTGAAATAATGCCCACTCCGAGGTAGATTCGAGGATAGACTCCAACAGTTTCGGAACCGGAAGCGTCTTACCCTTAAATGATGGAGGCCGGGATGCTGCAGACCGTGATGAAAGAACTGCAGCAGCTTCAGATAGAGGTTCAGGTAGAGAGAGAACGAGAGCGTCAGGAGCTCCACGAGTTGCGACAAAGGGGAACAAAGGTGTGATGAAAAAAACTTACAAGGCCAGTACCTTCTAATTGAGTTAAAACCTGATATTTTTGATGAAAAGGTATCGTGAATATTTGGTATAATTTGAATTGAGCGCGTACAAGTAACTGGAATGAGAACGTAAAAGCTAACGTATTAGCCGCAAATTAAAAAAGGAAGGAACACGTGGTTTGGAATGAGGAAGAATTAAACTTCAAGTAAATCCGGTCAAAGTTAGAATTGTGAGTTGGAGGATCAAAGTTTTTCCAAAATCATTACATTCAGTTTACTAAGAAAACAGTTCCGGCGAGAATTTTCATCGTAGGTTTTAATTTGGAAAGATTATCATATTTAATATTTTGTGTATACACGAGAATATACATATTATAATATATACTTTTATTATATTATGAATATACACTTTTATTATGAATATACACTAAACGCATGCTATCGTATATTTACGCAAATTTGATTGTGTCTTCACTGTTCTTCGCTTAATCCTTCGCTTCATTCGTATTCCTATCCTAACGCAGAGCTCTTACATCCCAGGTAGCGCCGGTGAATGCAAGTGGATCTAAAACAAGAGAGCAAACGTCATTCCTAATATCCTAGTGGGAACGAGGACATTACAATAGGTCTGTTTTTTTTTCGCTACACTAAAACTGCACTAGAACTACACTGAACTGAACTGAACTGCACTGGGAAAGACTAGTATAGAATAGTTCAGTTCAGTGCAAAAGTGCAATGAAGAGGTCTGTTCGTTTTCGCTGCACCGCTGAAACTCCAGAGTGTAGTAAACAACATGGCGCATCACATGGCATTATTTGATTCTTCTGACAAAGAGGATTTTGTTGTAATACAACCACTATTACAACCCATTGTAGATGAAAACGATGAATGTAATATACAACTAAATATAGCGAATTTATTAATAATTTATCATATTATATGCTCTACCGATCATAAATTTAAATAAATGACTATTAATAATCATCATAAAATTCATAAAATTAAATAAATGAAATATAAAATAAATATAAATATAAAATCGTAAAGATATCTTGACATCTTAAATTCACCCTTATGGTATGTTTGGACGTTTCTGCTGTGTATATGTGTGTGTGTGATAGTATAATATTAACAATTTCTGAAAATGAAATAAAGATGTTTCACACATTTCAATATAATGCAAGTCACATACCTGATAGAGACTTTTCGTATAAATTTCCGTTACGCTTACATGCACTTCCAAGCTACACTTTCATGTACTGCACTGACCACACTACCTCCTGACTCAGTGCAACAGTTCACTGAACTGCCTGCACTACATGCTGTTGCGAAAACGAAGAGCGTTAATGACGTCATGATAATGTCATTCTCGATAAAAAGAACCCTTTAATGTAAACCCCTTGCACTGGTGCGCACTAATGCAGAAAGTGTTTTGAGAAAAACAGACCTAATATAAAGAACAGCTAAGTTATATATCGGATGCATTTGCTGCGAATAAAAGAACACACTTTTTGAGCTGTACGCATAAGGTCTGTTCGTGTTGCTTGCTCTTTTGACACTTTTACTTTTAACACCATTTATACATTGGCCTCTCTTTAAAAAGAAGAGCTATCATTGAATATCGCTCATTTGATATGCAATGCTCATTAGATGCAAAAGTGTCAAAAGTGCAAGCAATGCGAACGAACATATAAATGAGAAGAAGAGTGATGATTGGTGTACGAGGTCGAACAATAAGCGGCCCACACCATCATGGCTGCGTTCTCTTTGAGCGCTCACGCGCTGTAAGTTTTCTATCTTCTTTTGACATATAATAAACGATAAAGATAGAATAACGTTTATAGTGCGTGAGCAGAAAACGCAGCAACCAAAGAGAACGCAGCTCGTAACTAAGTGATAGTCACAGTGAGAAAAATGAATGAATAGGTCTGTTTATTTTTTTCGAAACACTTTCTGCACTAGTGCGCACCAGTGCAAGGAGTTCACACTAAAGGGTTCTTTTTATCGAGAATGACATTATCATGACGTCATTAACGCTCTTCGTTTTCGCAGTGCAACAGCATGTAGTGCAGGCAGTTCAGTGAACTGTTGCACTGAGTCAGGAGGTAGTGTGGTCAGTGCAGTACATGAAAGTGTAGCTTGGAAGTGCATGTAAGCGTAACGGAAATTTATACGAAAAGTCTCTATCAGGTATGTGACTTGCATTATATTGAAATGTGTGAAACATCTTTATTTCATTTTCAAAAATTGTTAATATTATACTATCACACACACACATATACACAGCAGAAACGTCCAAACATACCATAAGGGTGAATTTAAGATGTCAAGATATCTTTACGATTTTATATTTATATTTATTTTATATTTAGTCATTTATTTAAATTTATGATCGGTAGGGTATATAATATGATAAATTATTAATAAATTTGCTATATTTAGTTGTATATTACATTCATCGTTTTCATCTTCAATGGGTTGTAATAATGGTTGTATTACAACAAAATTCTCTTCGTCAGAAGAATCAAATAATGCCATGTAATGCGCCATGTTGTTTACTACACTCTGGCGTTTCAACGGTGCAGCGAAAACGAACAGACCTCTTCATTGCACTTTTGCACTGAACTGAACTATTCTGTACTCTTTCCCAGTTCAGTTCGGTTCAGTGCAGTTCTAGTGTAGTTTTAGTAGCGAAAAAAAATAGACCTACTGAGTGCAGAAATGGTGCAGAAAGCAAGTTGATTCGCTCGTACGCAGAACTGAGAGTGAAGAGGAGAGTGAGTGATTGAGTGATTATTCTGAGCCTTTCTTCGTTGCAAATTTGTTATCATATGTGATTATTATCGATAATAATATTATTCGTTTTGTTGTAATGTAATGTGTCATTTGCTTAACTTTTAAGTTAACCCTCTAGCCACAAGGTTGGGGTTGGATGCAACTCTACGGTTTGTTTATTTTACAGCATACACACATTGCTTCTCTTTTTAAGGAATGTTTCATGCTATTATTCACATTTTTTACGCATTTTGTATATGGATTATATGAAAAACGAATAAAACATCCAAAATAGATCCAACCTCACTTTCTTAGTTCACCTTGTTGTTAGAAAATTCACCTTGTTTTAGAAAGTTAAAAAAGTACTTTCATGTGTAAATGTAAAACGACTTTACCGCGATTATAATTACTTGTATTTTTTTAATATAACGTATACTTAAGAAACGATCTTAGATTGGTTATAACTTTTATAGATTTGACTCATAAGTTACATAAGTTGGCAAGATGAATGATGAAAATATAAGTAACAATTTGCTGTTATCACCAGAAAAAGTAACAGAATATTGGAATCAAGAAGAAAGAATGAATGCATTGTTCTCACCATTTCGCAGTAAATCTGCTAATTCACAGGATTGGATTTCTAAATATAAATTCTGGCGTGATTTGATATATAAATCACTCAAACATACCATGCAGTGTACTTTTTCTATTGTTGATCTAAATGAGGCCTTTAAAAGAAAAGGTTGTGTACCTCTTTGTTTGGACACTGTAATTGAAGAACTTCTTAGGTATTGTATATTGTGTTATTAAATATACATTTATATTCTTATATTTAAAAAAGTACAGTGTGATATATTATAAAATAATAATGCATAATATCAAATACAAAAATTTTATTTGTAATGAAAAATAAAATAATAAAAACTGAAATAATAGTAAATACATTGTTTTCATAACGTTAAATTTTATTACATATTTCTTGAAATTTTCTAGGCACGATGAAATAATTCAAGAGACTGATTTTTTAAAAGAACCATGTGAAACTTGGACAGCATGGTCAGTTGATACATTTTTGAGGAAACCTATTAGCTGGTCTTTTTATAAGATGAAGACCCATGTGTTAGGTCAAAATACAATTAATACAGAAGTGAAATATATACATATACCTGTCATGCAAGAATTAGGTGATATTATCCTCTCTATTGCAGAAATTAAAAAGAACAATGTTTTATATTCCGTTTCTGAAATAACGGAATATTGCAAAATTAAAACAAAAAAGCAAATTTCGGAAGACTCGGTAAAATTAGTTTTGGAGTGGTTAAGGCGTAAAAGAAAAGTAGCTTTGGGGAAAAGTTCTGATTCAAATAATGAATTATTAGTAAAAATATCTACGCACTTAGTAACTGAAATCACAGAAGTAGAAGAAGGTACATATAAATTGGTGAAGCAAGAGAACAAACTGATCAAGGAAATAGAGTTTATGGAACAAGAGAAGCTTAATATTCTTAATGAAATAAAGACACACATGGCGAAAGGTTTGCGTCAGCTGGCAAAGACATGCTTGAAAAGAAAAATCGAATTAGAAAAAATTATAGAAAAACGTTCTCAAGTTCTTGCAAATCTGCATATTCTTATCATTAACATTGAAGATGCACATTCTAATTCTGCTATATTATCTGCTTATAAAACTGGATCTGAAATATTGAAGAAAATGGAGCAAAAGGATTTGACACAATACAGTGTTATGGATGTTATGGACAACATTAATGAAGTGAGTGACTATGTGTATTTTATAAGTAGTGTTCGTATGACATGAAAAAAATTCTAATATCTATTATTTGATAACTAGCTTTTAGAGGAAAACAGAGAAATAAATGTAGTTTTGTCTGAAACATTAAACCAAGATTCTGATACCGAATTAGAAAGAGAATTAGCGGAATTAATGAATGAGAATGATGCCGACATTTCCACTACATTTGCTGAATCAAACTCAGAGATTGAGAATTTGGAACAACGTTTGAATAACTTACGTATGAATGGTAAATATAATAAAATTTATATTTTTCGTAAAATAATATGGAATTGTATAATGCAGGTTCACTGTCACTTGAAAATACAACTACGCTACCGTCTGTGTCATCCCATGGAAATAAAATATTACAGGAACCTGAGTGTTTGTAAGTTACGACAATCTTTTTTACAATTTTTTTTTAATGAGATAACTTGTATTTAAAGTTTTTAAATTTACCTTATTACAATTATTGATTATGAAAAGTTAAAGCGCATGTGCATTAAAAATGTATGCAAAGATATTTTTCTTAAAACTGTCTTGTGATGTGTTATCTACATCTAAAATTAAAATTGAAAATATGTAGTAGAGTACTTCAATATTATAGATCCATCCTTTGTATCCTTCATATTTCTTTTGTATTTATTCTTTATATTTAATAAAATAAAAATTATTCTATATAATTATCTTTATTTACATAAGTAAAGACACATTAATTATGTTCCATGTAACAAAATTGTACTTGTAACTTTGTACAACCAGTTATTTTTTTATAAGAAATATTTATAAGAAATTATTAACAATGTATGTTTCTGTAAAAGATTAACGTTTATTTTTTAATTCGATAGTTGCTGCATTAATGTGTATATGATAACGATATATGAATTATAGAAATAATAGGCAATCTTATTGGAAAAATAGAAAATCAATATATGAAACATATTGTAGTATTCAAAATTTATCCGGACATAACGGATATTGTCCTTTTTGGCCTAATCTCTCAATTACATCTTCTATCCAACTAACATGACTGGATATTCGTGTATATAAGGAGTACACGTTATTATCACAATAAGTAGATGCACCTTGCTCTATTGTATTAAGAGCAACACTAACAACACCTCGCAGGTACCACAATTCTCCGGTTTTAAAAACTAGTCCTCCGCCACTATCACCATTACAAACAGATGAACCTGAAACATATGATGTTCATTTACTAAACAAATTCTATTCCAATTTCACAGTTATATTATTATATTATATAGAGATTTAATTTAAAAAATACTCTCTTCAATCTTTTTTTATATTTCTATGAAAATCACACTATCAGCATTATTTGACTATTATAATAATTTGATTAATAATTATATATGATTAACTAAATACTAATTATACATAATTAACTGACCATTTGTATAGCCTGCGCAAAACTTGTCGATAGTGATATATTTTTGTTTTTCTGAATTTTGACTTGCGGACTTGCATTGGTTATACGGAACATATGGCACTGTTAAAGCTTGTAATATTGCACTGGATTCGCTCATTGCTGTTCTGCCAAACCCCGCCACTTTCCCATAAACACCTGCTTCCAATACAACTCTATCGCCATATGAAAAAGGATCTATACATATAGGGACCAGCCAGGTGGACAATACAAATGGTTCAACAAGTTCCAATATTGCGATATCCGATACATAATTTCCTATGAGCCCTAAATAATTGCATGAAATGTAAATATTCTTCACCTGCAAAAAACAGGTATAAGACATCAGAATTGACAATTGTATGTTTCATATTAGTTATGTTTACAAACCTGACCCTTTCTGACAAGTCGTTGATCGTGCCAGGGAAAATCGAAATCGCGAAAAACATTGCCCGTTAATATATGTATCAGTTTAGGGTTTCTTATAATTTTCTTAGTAACCTCGTCGTATACACAATGAGCTGCTGTTATCAGAAGATTCTCTTGAATAATGGAAGCACCGCAGAAATATTCCTTAGTGCCGTTTTGTGTTTCAAGATACATAGAAGCATGCCATGGGAATTCCGTGATATTGGGCCGTACGCCATTTACAATGAGCGGTATAACATCAGGGGGTAGTATACCGCAAACTACAACATAGATTTCGATTAAAAAGGTCACGGTGCGACCTTCCACATTGGAGAATTCACACTGTATCTGTTCTATTGCTCAATTATGATTACATAGGTCGGCATTCATTCTGATTGGTATATCCTTTTAGATCTAAAAATACATTCCAATTAAATGCAAGAGTTCGCTAATTACGGTAATTACTAAACCGAATTAACGTTGCTGTGTAAACGTAGTCGTAGTCGGATTTTATAGACAGGGTGTCTAAGAGCATTCGTTCACCCCTTTTATATCGGAGGGAGGTGGTTTTTAATAAAAACCTTAAAAATTCTAATAAGTAAATCAGCCATGCACTATCGGATAGCGATATTTTCAACTTACGGTTCCAACCGGAAGTGGGCTATCTAAGCCGGAAGTTCATTTTTTTAATGGCACGAGGTATATTTTAAAACAGATTCGAGTTCTACGTAAAATATTATGAAACTTTTGTCCGAAACATTTTCGAACATTTTCCGAAAGTGCCTCTCTTGACCATGAAACGACATCGCTTTCGACATCGTTTACGATATTGTACGGCCCATTTTATCGGTTACTGCATCTGAAGATAAACTTAAGATGGCCATAATTAAGCCTCTACCTGGTATTCATATCCGGATCTTATATTTAAGACGGTCTTAAATATAAGATCTGACTATGGCCGGTATTCACAGATTGATCAATTTCTTAAGGCTTAAAATTCTACTGTAGACCTAGCCTAAGAGCGCAAGAAAAAACGGTGTGAAAAATACTCCTAAAAATATTTGTGTCAAAATTATATAAATTTCCTTTTTTGGGCTTTACGAGACTTGGAAGTACAAGTGGGACGCGTAAGGCAGAAATTTTTTGCTACTAAAAAGTAACTTCAGTCGTTCCCTGTTATCATTATAGCAAATTGTTATCAAATATAGCAGGCATAACCGAATCCTACGTTTACATCGACAACTTTCCATATAAGGTAAAAAGCTCTTTACGTGCAATAGATATGTGCTTCATGCATTGTATACGTCGTATCCCTTTCAAAGTAGCTAGCCATGACTTTTTCTTCAGCAAGCTATTTATCAATTTAAAATTTAATGGGAATGAGCGTGTACCACCTATCGCAATATTGATGAATGATTATTTGCAGTTAACAAATAATTAAGTTTGTTTAAATTCTAAGTTAACAATAATTTTATTAATTATAAGTTTATAATTTAAATTTATAATTTACGAGAATTATAGTTATACATAATTATAATTATAATTTACAACATATATAATTATAATTTACGTAAACATAATTATAATTTAAGTTCCTAATGTATAATTAAAAACATTTTTCTTCTTATAAATTAGAAATAATCTTATTTTGTGTTCTCTTATATTTAATTAATTGATAGTTGTCTTATATTGAGTTTTAATTAATTAATAAATATGTTTGGACGTTCATAAATAAAATATCAAAATGTAGGATAAAAACTTTTGAAAGCTTTCTTTAGTCTTCTAGACGTGTTTGGCACCGTTTATAATTACGTGATAAATCTAATGCAAGAAGAGCTGTATTGTCCAACTTTGTTCAGGGTAAATTATGGAGAAAAAAGAAAACTGATTATTTTTTTGGTAAAATTGTTTTCTTTCTTATCGTTTATTACGATGATTTTGAAGTGAATAATCCTTTGGGGAATCATAAAGCAATTCAAAAGATAGACTTATATTATTATTATTCCATGTATTCCATTAGAATAATGTTCCACATTGGATGAAATTTTTGTTATTTTATTATTCCATGCATTTGATAGAGCCCATTTTAAAAATGCAGCTATGTTTTGCATATTAGTAGATGAAATCAACTTCAGAAGTGTGGTATTGTTTTACATCTGACACAGGGTGACCAAAAAGTATATTTTATTCTTGGTTTATTAACTGGGGATAATCTTGGACTCAATATTAGGTTATTCAATGGGTTTTAATGCTTATTTTCGCTTTTGCACTATACCAAAGGAAGATTGTGAAAAAAGTTACTTCATACGAAAAGAAAATTTGAGAAGGACATAAAAGTACTTGTACGTGAATGGTATTCATAACGATCTATCCAACTTTGGTTTAAATGCATTTTCAATTTAGAATGAAGTTGAAGGATTTCATGTTTATGAAAATTTTGCTTCAGACTCTTTATTACATAAGATGGCAGAAGGTTGTGTATGATATGGAATGGGCTATTTGTTATATCACTTAATATTCAAGGAGAAACACTTTGTAATTCGTGAAATTAATGATAGAATGAAGACTTTTGATTATTATATAAAAAGATTTTCGAACAGACCACCACTTGTAACAGAGGAGGAAGTAAGAAGCAAGTATTTAAATGTCAGGTACTAAAATGATAAATTTTTTTTAACTTTTGGTTTTTTGGATTGGAAACTTTGTGCCTTGCGGTAATAAATTGTGGTATTTTTATACTGTTTTATGTGAAATATTTGATATTGTTGCTGCTACTAATATTATTTTAGCTTTAGTTATTAGTTGCTACTACTATTTAGTATAATGAGACAAGAATAGACTTATCAAGAATAGGCTTAACAAGATTTGTGTGAATGTTACATATTCTAGAATAAATATTACTCTACATTAGCATTCAAAGGAGCTCTGCAAATATGTATAAATTAGTAAGTCAACTCAGATTTGTATATAAATTTGAAATAGGACCAAGAAACATTTTAAATTGCCTGAAAGCGAAAATTTAGATTCGTGTATCTCTCTTGATTTTAGAGTAGCTTGTATAGAGGGGTTCCATGAGTTGATTACAAAGGAACTAGATACAGAACTTCACTTTCAACATAAATATACTTAAACTTTACAAATTCATACATAAATTGCAGAGAAAGACGCATTGAAATGTAACCTTTCAGAATATGTATATATATCAAATGTTTCAGCCACGCGTGAAATGAATTCACGTATTCAAACACCATCTATTGAAAAACGCTACGAACTTTTGTTCCAATACAATACATGAATTTCATTTATAAGAAGAAATTTAAGAGCTCAAATAAAAAAACATAAAAAATAATAATTACTTGTATCTCTAAATAAAGTTGGCGCCGCATTTCTTTTTAATTTTAATAGGTTATCAAGACGATTATTCTTCTTCATATCAGGAGTAAAATGTACTTATAAATTGAAAATAATTATCATTTACAAAAAAACACTTGCTGACAAATATTAATATAAGTGATTCTCTGTATGAAAAAATAATTATGTTCAAATAATTATATTTGACATAATACCAAATATTTATTTGATGTCCGATTTTCTTTTTTTATGTTGGATACCAATTGGCACATCCTTGGCACATCCTTGTGAATCTTTCAGTGGAAAATAACATATTTTAAAATGTTTCTACCATGAATTGGAAAAATTTTTTTGCTAAACATCTCGGTATTTTGCATCTGAAGCAAATATATTTAAATGTTTCCTACATATATGTATTTAGCTTAGGATTGGGATTATTGGATATATGCATAATTAAGTGACATTGATAAGTAATTGAATAGTGAAAGTAATAAATAAATTAAAAAGCCCATATTTCATTATTAATAATATATTCAGTAATAACAACATTATTAAATATAACATTAAATGGAACTTACGCAGTATCACAGAAATGCACTAGGTTCAATGCACGTTGCTTGGCAACATAAAATATTTCTAGTCAAGTTCTAACTTTCACAAAAATGTATTACTGTTAAGCTAATGATTAATTATTTATCTTGAATACTTCAAACAATATTGTTAGTAATTAGTAATAATTAAATTATAAAGCTCGCAGTGATCCTAAATATTTAAATACTTAGTGATTAAATACTACCTTATCATTAATATATCATTAATATGAATACTTAAATACTAATATTTAATAGCGCAGAAGTGATGAAATATACCCTTACAGAAATTTAATATTGAGGATTATTGAATTTACAGCGATTAAATATTGAGAAAGCAGTGGAAATACAGTGGAAATACAGGTAGAAAGCATATATCAAGCATATATCAAGCATATATCAAGCATATATTACGGAAAATATTGGCAGCAGAAAACCTAGGATACTTGACTACTAACTAGATCAAGGTTCGATACTGCCGGAACCTGTGTTTTTTCCCATTTTCCTTCTTCCTTTTTCTTTTCTTTTTATTACTCTTATTTTATTATTAATGTTTATTATTATTAATTAATTAATTATTAATTATTAATGTGAATAAAAAACACAATTTTTTTACGTATTTGAAATACAGGCTGTATAAAAAGTACCGCAATCGCAGAATATCTTGAAAAATAACGAATAAAAAAGAAAGTTTAAATACAAAATTTGCAGGCTTTTTTGTTTAAATTTGCTTTAAAGAAGAGCATCTGATGATGACATTGGCCTCAGCGTAGAGGTCAAATTTAGAGGTCATTTTAAGGTCAATTTGAAATTTTTTAATTTGAATTTGAATTTTTAATCCCCCAGTTTTTAACTCTTAAATGAAAAGAACAGAAAATTTTACGTTCAGACATGCTATCATGTCATGGAGTCAAATTGACTGATTAATTAGGAGTCATTTCGAAGTCAAATTAATTTTTCAATAATAATTCTTCAGGAAAGCAGTTTTAAAGAAAACGTTAATACAAAATTAGCAGGGTTTAAAAAGGGGCATCTGATGATGATCTGATGGCCACAGTGTAAGGGTCAAATTTAGAAATTATTTCAGTCAACTTGAAATTTTGAAATTGGGAACTCTGATTTTTAACTCCAGAAATGAATAGAACAGAAAATTTTACGATCGAATATGGTTAAATGTTATAGGGATACACTGATCCCTAGAGGTGATTTCGAGGTGTAATCTGTCTGTTGCGTATTATCATACGCACATTCTACAGTAATCGGCACTTTCAGATGGACAACCCGTCATTGGCTCCCATGAACAAAGTGGATTTCTTAGACGAGTTAAAAATCAAGATTCC